TAACGAGAAAAGCACAAACGAATTGGCACGAAAGAAATAGTTAATTTCAAATATTAAGAACGATTTAATGTGAACTAGCACTAGTTCGTTCTTAACAAGAATCCCCAATGAATTTTTCTTACCCAAAAGTAGTCTTTCCCTAACAATCAACAAGAACACTTGAACAATAATTTTTTTTCTGTTTTTTTTTTCAAACTCAAGAACAATTTTTTTTTTTTTGCTTTTTATTTTTTTTGTTTTTGCTTTTGTAAGAACCTCGGCTAGGGTTTAGTTGTAAATAAGAACTATACTTTTTTTTTTACTAATTTGGATCTTGATTTCAAGACTGGGGAACGTGGGTTTGATAGAACAATACCCGAGCCTTCGCTCTGATACCAACTGATACGATCCGAGATAAATAAAATATCGGAATATGAAAATAACAATAATTGAAGCAAAACTAATGATAGGTTTGATTAAGATAATCAAAAGTAGTTTGAATAATAAAATTTAGAAGAAAATCTAGAACCCTAAGTGAACGTCTCAAGTAACAATCAAAAAACTATCTGATCACCTCCCAAGAACGACAATTAGAACCCTAGATATGAAGAAAAGAGAAGAAGATTAGATTACCCTTAAGAACCCAAATCTTGAAAATAGGTAATCCAAAGTTGAACTCGAACCAAGAGGTTCCAAATCTCTCTCAACTAGGGGTGGGCATTCGGTACTTCGGTACGGTATTTAAGAACTTCGATTCGGTATTTCGGTATTCGGTTTATCAATTGTGTATACCAAATAGCGTACCAAAATAGTTCGGTAAGATTCGATATTTCTTATTTTGTTTTGGTACGATTTTCGGTTTGATACACTAACGGAATAGATGATATAAATAGAGTGGACAGTGGTCTGGACACGATGTGCTAAGTTAGCTGGTAGACAATACATGAAGAAGCATCATTTAAAGAAGCATCATTTGAATAAACTAGCAGCCTATATGAATAAGCTAGCAGCCTGCTAAAGTTTACAAAGCAACTTTAGCAGAATTCAAGTATACCAAGCAACTAGCCAACTAACGAGGCTAACAACAACAAACATCAGCAGAATTAAAGTACATTAAACAATAAACACAGAAATCAGCAGCAGAAAGTACATTAAACAAATAAACACAGAAACAATAAACACAATTGTCCATTCAAGCACTTCTTTAAACGAGCAGCAGAATGCAACACAGCAACAACATCTGCCATCTAACAAGCATCAGCAGAAATCGGAATTAAACAATAATCAGATGCAACAAAAACAGAGAGGGCATACACCTGCTCTTGAGGTCGTGAAGTCGTCGTCGCCCTCTGCTATTGTAGTCGCGAATCAGCAGCACTACTGCCCGTAAGTCTGTTGTCTCTAAGTGTAAAGAGGCCGCTAGGAGCGCTAAGGGATTGGGGGATTAACGGGCTTGGGGTGTTGGGCTTAGACGTATTGGGCCGAAATATCGAAATATCAAAAACTCAAAACCATATACTGTACCGAAATACCGTAATTTCTGCACTGAAGTATACCGAAATACCGAAAATTCCGATACCGAAATACCAAATTAATTCGGTTCGGTTCGGTTCGGTTCGGAATTCGATTTTTCAGATTTTAAGCCCACCCCTACTCTCAAGAGTTTTCTTATGTCAAAATCTAAGTTCCTAATGAAATAACCCTAGGCTGTTATAAATACCCAATGGGTAAAATAGGAAAAGTTTCAAAGTTAATGTCCCAAAAAAACTCGTCAGGCCAAACCGTAGCCTCAACCGTAACTCCAACCGTGACGCACAGCTAAACCGTGACGAATTTCATAAGCTTATTTTCTTCAGCTCTTCAAGCCCCTCTTGAACCGTAGCCAACGGTTGGTGAAACCGCGTCACCCGGTTTGACTTGGGGTCTTGATTCTTCAATTCTCAAGAACCCAAACATAGTATCCTTTGCATGAATCCTCCAAGTGACTCTCCAAACATCTTCTAGTCAATTATTGAAGACCATGCAACTCCTCAGCGTGCATCCCTCGAGCGTTCTTGGACTTGGAGCGAGTCAAAGGTCCACTAAATAATTCGGGGTCATCTTCAATATTCTTCGCTTTGCCAGGGCTATCTAGGATCTTATCACGTTTTAGGGCCATAAAATAGGAATTCAGGATGATTTTCTATTTTTCGTGTGCTAATGTCCACGTCATCTTCATGAATTCGGGCGACGGGCTCTGAATCGCCTAAACTTTTTGAGCCCACCGTAAATGACCTAATAAACAATGATCGTTTCTCGTTTTTTTGTTTAGGGCCATAAAATAGGAACTCACGACGATTTCCAATTTTTCGTGTACTAATGTCCACACGATCTTTATGAATTCGGGCAATGGGCTTCAAATCACCTAAAAATTTGTGGGCCCATCAAAAATGACCTAATGAACAATAATCATCGATTTGCCATGACCGTTCATCATTTTTTGGCGTTTTAGAGCCATAAAATAGGAATTGATGACGATTTACAATTATATGAATTCCGGCCCACGCTATCTTCATGAATTCGGGCGACGAGCTCTGAAGCCTAAAATTTTTGTGGGCACATTAGAAACGACCTAATGAATAATGGTCATCGCTTCGTCATTACTGTTCCTTGTTTTTTGGAGTTTTAGGGCCATAAAATAGGAATTCAGGACAATTTCTAATTTTTCGTACGTTAATGTCCATGCCATCTTCTTGAATTCCGGCGACGGGCTCCGAATTGCCTAAAATTTTGTGGGCCCATCAGAAACGACCTAATGAACGTCATCGCTTCGCCATGATCGTTACTCCTTTTTTGGCTTTTTAGGGCCATAAAATAGGAATTCATGACGATTTCCTAGTTTTCGTGTGCTAATAATGTCCACGCCATCGTCATAAATTCCGGTGTCGGGCTCTAAATCGCCTAAAATATTGTGGGTCTATTAGAAATGACCTAATGAACAATGGTCATTGCTTCGCCATTACCGTTCCTCGTTTTTTGGCGTTTTAGAGCCATAAAATAGGAATTCACGATCATTGCCAAATTTTCGTGTGCTAATGTCCACACCATTTTCATGAATTCGGGCGACGGGCAACGAATCGCCTAAAATTTTGTGGGCTCATCCGAAACGACCTAATGAACAATAGTCATAGCTTCGCCACGACTGTTCCTCGTTTTTGGCATTTTAGAGTCACAAATTAGGAATTCACGATGATTTACAATTTTTCGTGTGCTAATGTGTATGCCATCTTCATGAATTTGGACGATGGGCTCCGAATCGCCTAAAGTTTTGTGGTCCATCCAAAATGACCTAATAAACAATAATCATCGCTTCTCTATGACCGTTCCTTATTTTTTGGCTTTTTAGAGCCATAAAACAAGAATTCAAGATGACTTTCATTTTTTCGTGTGCTAATGTCCATACCATCTTCATGAATTTGGGCAGTGCTTTGTATCACCTAAAATTTTGTGAGCCCATCAGAAACGGCCTAATAAACATTAATAGTCATTGATTATTCATGATTGTTCCTCATTTTTTGACGTTTTAGGGTAATAAAAGAGGAAGTTATAATAATTTCCAATTTTTCGTGTTAACGTCCACGCCATCTTTATGAATTCGGGCGATAGGCTCCGAATTGTCTAAAATTTTGTGGACCCATCAGAAACAATCTAATGAACAATAGTCATCGCTTCGCCATGACCGTTCCTCATTTTTTAGTGTTTTAGAGGCATAAAACAAGAATTTACGATGATTTTCAATTTTTTATGTGCTAATGTCCACGTCATCTTCATGAATTCGGGTAACAGGCTTCGAATCACCTAAAATTTTGTGGACCCATCAGGGTAGTTACGCGTTTCTCTATATTGTTATTGTTTTTCTGCTTATTACTCGGTGAGTGTCTTGTCATAGCCTCGTCACTATCTCGTCGAGGTTAGGCTCGATACTTACTGAGTACATGGGAACGATTGTACTCATACTACACTTCTGCAGTTCTTGTGCAGATCCCGATGTCGGTCCCAGCAAAATTCAGAGGTGATCTGCTCGGTTACATTCCCAAGAGACTTAAGGTAGTGTTGCTTGGCGTTCGCAGACCCTAGAGTCCTCTTCCTATCATGATCTACTGTTTATTGTAACATACAGTACTGTACTTTCCGGTGCAGACTTGTATTTAGTATTACAAGTGGCTCATGTACCTGTGACACCAAATTCTGGGGATAGTCTTAGACAGCAATGGTCGTAGCAGGGGTGCACAGACTTGCACTGTATCAAAAAAAAAAATGGACAGTAGCACAAAAGATCTATATACTGTAAGAGGTCGTTTGGTAGCTGGTTAGAAGAAAGGTTATTCATGTATAAGGGGTAACATAACTTATACCATGTTTGGTAGGCAATAGTTATTTTGTATAAAATTCTGCATAACTAATACCATGTTTGGTTGACATTTTTCAATTATGCATAAATAATACATGTATAAGTTATGGGTCAATCTGTGTATTATTTCAAGCGGGGTAGAAGATGGAATAACTAATACATGTATTAGTAATACATGGATAAAATACTGAAATGACAAATTTACCCCAATCACTTTACACATAAGGCTTCCTTATTTCTCTGCCAACCCGTCAACAGGTTTCACTTGCTTTCACTTGCCAACTATATACCTTGTCTTCTCTCATTTTTAAAGAACAAACTAGCAAAAGCAAACTGGAGAAGCCACTAGAAAATGGAAATACCAAAACTAAGAAGTGAAAATCAAATATGTCTAAACTTCACATAGTTCAGTAGTATGACGAAGAAGTGAAAGTAACACCCGAAGTTCCTAACTAAATTGTTTCCTACATAAATGGAAAGAGAGAAAAAAAAATGCAAAAGAAGGCCAGGGGTATAGTTGTAAACAAGCATTTTACTTTAAGATTTATATAATGTATATCAATTTCTAATACAACAAACCAAATATTCAAAAAAATAATCTCTGCATAACTTATCCCTGCATAACTAATACATGTATAACTAATACCTGCATAACTCTAACCGGCAACCAAACGACCCCTAAGATTATCAACATAAATTTGAAGTGAGAACATTGCTTACATGAGGATAATACTTTATACAAAGCTACACTATGCGCACCAAGACAAAATTTCTTAAGGCCCGTGCCGTTTCAGTTTTGCATCTCAGATTGATGTTGTACGGGGTCTTCAAAAGGATGCTGAAGCACAGGCATCAAATATTTCATCTAAATCCCTACATGTTTGAAAAACATCTCGCCCTTGATGCTTCCACCGGAGCATTCTGTCATGGAGATCATGTACATTCAGCTGTATGTTGTTCTTTTCCAGAGTGAGTTGGAGTAACCTTTTCACACACTTGAATAGATATCTCCCAATCTTTAGTTTCACGTCGCACACAAAACTGAGTCCACACTCCTCAGTTTCAAACATAGAAGTTGTCATACTTTCAATTACATCAGTTATGTCAAAGACAATGAGCGCTCCTGCTGTAGCCTCTTTTACCGTGTACGTCTCAACCCATGCAATCGAGTCTTTTTGCCTTTCATGGTTAGACTTCCTATTCTTCCTTCCAAGTTGTCCTCCGGTGAATTGCCCAAGAGTACCAGCTGCACTATAATGCAAAAGCAGTTCACATTCAGCATCAGTTATATGATTCAAGCATCCGAACAAGATGCCTATTGGTATCCTCCTAAATAACATGTTCTTCTGTGCACTAACTCCTGGTGTCCGTTCTTCATCTCGAGCAAAATTTTCATTTACTTTATCTGAGTGCCCAATGTACATGTCCTGAAATTCTTTAAGCCAGAACGCAAGTGTTTGGGAATTGGAATCCGGGATATTCACCATTTCCTTCTTAAAGGACAGGGATCTCCTGAATTCCTTTTTGTGACAAAGAGTTGTCTCATTGCCTTCATCAAAGCCAAACTTAAGATTCCATGATTTTGAAAACTTTGACAGATAATCGACTAAATGTTCTAAGTAGGATCCACCAGCAGGGTTCAAACTCCATGCTATAAACTTTGCAGCAGTAGCAAGAAAAGGAGATTTAACGTCCTCTGAATGGTTAATATTACCTGCTCCATATATGCATGTTGAGCTGTACTTGCCCCACAAACTCTTTTTAGAGAATAGCAAAATAGAGGCAAAAATGAACCAAGAAGGAAAGGTTATTGTTGTTTCCCTGACAGTAAGCAGCAGAAACAGTAAGCTATTAGCCATAAACTAAGCCAGTTGAAACTAATTGTATGTAATGCCACAAAACTGAAACTTACCAAATAGAACTGTGATTTATTCTGGCAATATTCACAATTTTGTTTGAAAATGTATTAACTGGCTTGTAAACTTCATGAACTAGATACTCCAAAGATTCGAAGGACAAAGGTCCAGTCAAAATCTTCAAAATCTGGTTCTTGCATGGAAAGTATGCATGAGAAAATGGAAGTTTTGAACCAAGATCCATTGATATGCCCCACCACCTTGGTCTGGAAATAATATCTAGCACCAGGGAGACCAGCTTAACGTGAAGCTCTAGGATAGAAGCCAAACCCCTGCAAAGTAGTAGTGAAAAAATATGAGGAACCTTTAAGATCTTAGAACATGGGAATCTTTCAAATTCTTTAGTTTTCAAGTAGCATATCAGCGTCATGGAGAGCGGTAGGTTATTCTTTGATAGAGAAATCTGTGAAGAAAATGAAAAAGATAAAAAATGATAATGCAGTACAAAATATCCATGCAGGCATATCGAACTAAAAATGTTTTAGAATTTATTGTAGCTATCACTACAGTAACCTTACTGTTGGTAGGAAAGAAAAAAAAACAGGTGTGGGACTTACGACAGTAGAAACCAGTTATGCAACAGGGACCTTGTTTCAGTAAACATGACAGGAGAAAGTACCAAAGATATAACAATTGAATGCCATTCTTTCCTCTGATGAAATTCCATATCTAGACAAAGGAAAGGTCTCTTAATGGCCTCTTGTAGAATTTGAGATACATCGTACTTCAGAAGCATGTGATCTAGTTGCCATGAGAGCAACCTGCGGAGCAAGTGAAATGATAATGGAAAAAGCGATATCATTATATGGGTTACACCAAAAAGAAAAAAGCAATTCATTTTCCTTCCGGACAGTCTTATTATAGGTTATTGATGAGAACTGGGTGCACATATTGACAAGATTCAAATTCATGTAATGAACATAGTTTCTGCAACGTATCATAGTAGTATATTTATCTTGAAGGACACCCAGCTCTTAAAAGTAGCATTTCCTATTTACTGAGAACAGGAAATCAACACTATCATTTCTCTGGTAACATCACACTACATTGCCTCAACGCCAAACATAGTCTTTTCTCTCCATTTTTATAAAAAAAAAAAAGATATGCATGAATTACCAACTCAACCAAGGCATGTCAATCCAGGTAACAAAACAAGGACCATCAGGAGTACTGTTCTTTTTCTAACTTTAGTCCAAGCTAAATTACTCATTCTAAGCCGCATGGTTGAATTGATATGATCTCTCATGATGACTTCTTTTCTTAATAACATGGTGTTCGGTCAACTTACGCGCACCTTGACTATTCCACCAGGTACCTGATACCTTCCACTAGCACAGGTAATGCATAACTTACCCCACCAAGGCTTAGGCAGATGGGAAGAAACCGCTTAGTGTACTTTGTCTCCGATGATTTCTAAGAGACTTTCAGAACTTCAAGAAAAATCATTGTTATTAGATGACATCGAATTCCAAAATATGCTCCAATATTAGAAACAAAAATAGGCCTACCACCCAGTAGGTTCAGAAATAGAGGTTCTAGCAATAACAAATCCATGAATGATAGAAAAGCAACTTTAACAAACCTTAGCGGTATTTTTCCACTCTCAATGTTAAACTCCTTTTGACAATGTAACTGTTTCAGCACAGCAGAGTGTCCTCCATCAATAGATCTCAGGTCAAGAACAGGAGGCAATTTCAGCGAATAGTGAACTCGTGATGCTAGTACCGCCACCCTCACAACAGCATACAAAATCATTGGAGAAAGATCTTCTGTAATCACAAAAAGCACGCAAGAACATTTCAATACCTAACTTCAACTAAAATTACCAAAGACTATGATTAATCGCAAATCAGATATGTAAATCCTACAGACTCTGAGATCCATAGACAAAGTTATCAGCAACAACAACAACGACCAAGTAAAATCACACTAGTGGGGTCTGGGGAGGATAGTGTGTACGCAAACCTTACCCCCACCCTGAGGGAGTAGAGAGGCTGTTTCCGAAAGACCCTCGGTTCAATAAGATAAAGTTATCAGCTTTAACATAATATAATATCACCAGATACCCAAAAAAAATGCTTAGATGAAAGTGACAATTACGTCGACATCCTTCCAATTTATGCAAAATGTCAGCACATGATTCAATTATTCTGGTACAATCCTGAGCCGAAATCAATCCACCAACTTGCAAAACCTCATGTTGAGCAGTTCTGAGAACCTTGCATTCAATTGAAGTAGATAGCACTGTAGCAATTGTCTTCACCAAGTACTCAATCGTACAATCGTAGACCTACAATCACAAAATTGCAAAAAAATATCTCAGATTACGTATTCAAATAGAAAAAAAGTTCAATTATATTCCTTTTTCTATCTGTTTTGTGAATAGATGTAACCTGAGACGATGTGAAGCACATAAGAGAAAGGGCAGTGTCCAAAACCCTAACTCCTGGAGATGTTTCGGAGAGGTTAAGCGAATGGTTGAGATTTGTGATAGTGAGGTCCAGATTTGGAGCTTCATTTCCGGTCGTCAGATTTGTGGACTGCAGTTCCGATGCTAGTGCTAGGAAGAGTGACCTTATTTCTGAAGCCTTTGACATTGAGAGTGAAGAAGAACGCAACTTCCCGCCAAATAAATCGACCGTGTCCTCTTTTATAAGTAGAATGAAAATGGTATTCAATTTTTGCAAGCCTCGTAAAATTTACATCTGGTAGCCTTACAGCGGCTATAGAGTATTATTTTTCCAAATTTGTAACTAATTCAATAGTATCAAGTTCTATACTTTTGGTTGTGTAGTGCTAAAAAAATAATTTTTCGAACTCTCTTAAACAGGGACAAAATATAAATAATAGCCTCAAATATACTTTTTCGTGCACTAAACAAAAATAGAGGTAGAACTTGGCCAGGCCATCCGTTGGATAGCCCATCACTGGTTTTAAACTTAGCTAAGTGCAAATTAGTTGTTTTTAAGAGTAAAAAAATAGCACGGGCTAGCAAGTTTTCGGATTGGTTATTCAAAAATAGTCAACATTTGCAAAGTCATTGAAAAATAGCCACCATTTGCTGCAACACCGAAAGTTCCAGCATAATATACTTGAGATCCGTGCACTTGTGTATGAACTTCCAGCATATTATGCTGGACCGGTATATTATACTGGAACTCCAGTATAATATGCTGGAAGTCCAGTATACTTTGCTGGAGTATTTTTCGGATTATAAACAGTATTTCATTCAGATTTATCTTTCCATAAAAAGTGGCTAAATTTCAATTACTTTAAAAACTGTGGCTATTTTTGAATGAGCACTTGTAAATCTGGCTATTTTTGAATTTCTCTCTGTTTAAGACCCTATTTAAGATGTACTTGAAGTTTATAATTTTTTTTTACGTTTAGCCTTTTTAGTGGGAGAAATTCAAAAATAGCCAGATTTACCACTGGTCGTTGAAAAATAGCCAAGTTTCAAAAGTCATCGAAATTTAGCCACTTTAAATCTGAGCGAAAACACTGTTCAAAATCCGGAAAAATACGCCCGCAAATTTTACGGGAGTTCCAGCATAAGTATGCTTGAACTCCCGTAAATTTTATGGGAGTTCCAGNAAAGACATGTGAAACTTTTACCACTAATGATGATCTATAGTACTCCCTTCCTTTTAATTTTTGGGAATTTTATTGATTAATTCTCGGTGTAAATTTGAACATAGAATTTTTTAATTTTTTAAAATTTATATGTGAAACTTTTACCACTAATGATGATCTATAGTACTCCCTTCCTTTTAATTTTTGGGAATTTTATTGATTAATTCTCGGTGTAAATTTGGACATAGAATTTTTTAATTTTTTAAAATTTATGTATATATATATATATATATATATATATATATATATCATAATAGTTAATAATTTAATTTATTTAAAAAATATGATCAAAGAAAATCTTGTCTAACTCCCCCAACTAGTATATCATAGTATTAGATATGAGTTCGCGTGAACTATATAAATTTTTTTCAGACTCTGTATCTGTATTAAAAAATTCAGTAGATGTGTTACTTTTAGCTCGAAATCCAGGGCGATTTGCAGCCGTACCCTATTTTTATGCCACCTTTAAACCTATACCCTGTTTTTAAAAACTATTGATTTCGTAACCAACTAACAAAAATTCCGTAATAATATGACCATTATACCCCATCCAAAACATATAAAGTCCGTCTCTTCTCCGTATTTCCAGATTCAAATTCCAGATCTCCTTCGTATCTCCTCCATCAGTCCGTCTCTCCGGAGATCGCGTCTCGCATTCAAATTCCTTATTCAAATTCAAATTCCAAATTCAAATTCAAATTCAAATACATTGTAAGTATTTTTTGAATTATATGTTTTCTGATTTGTTTGAGCAACTTCACTGATATGCTGAATTTCTGTTTGACGATGAATTCTAACATTCTAAGCTGAAGTTATTTAGTTAACCAGCTGGCAAATAACACAACGAAGAAGAAATTATATTAAAACATTATATGATTATTGTAAATCTTCGGCATAGTTGCTGAAGTTTTTTTGTTAATAATTGAAAACTTCGCCATAGTTGCTTAAGTTTTTTAGTTATTACTTAAAAACTTCAGCAGGCGGAGCTGAAGTTTTGCTCCTACACTGGCTAAATTAAAATTTCATATTGCATGAAAAAACTTCGGCCTAGGTGCTAAAGTTTTTAGTTATTGTTTAAAAACTTCAGCAGGAAGAGCTGAAGTTTTTTAGTTAATATTTAAGACTTAAGCAAGAAAAAACTAATTAACATAAACATAACAATAGAAAAAACGCAAATAAACTAGCGACAAAAACTTAACATTTAATTAAATATTAAAATAATAAATTAACATGAATAACAAAATAGCAAAAATAACAAAAAGAAAAACTAATTGTCCATATTATCATCATCGTCGTCGTTGTCGTCGTCGTCGTTCTCACTACCAGATGGACGACCATCTTCATCAGGAAGATTATTAAATCTTGCATACATCAGAAGCTTATCGAGCTTGTGGTTGATTTCTTCGAGCTGCCTGTCATATTTGTCTATCACCTCATCCAATTTTAATTCAAATGCCTCCAAAATGTCTTGCTTCAGCTCTTCTACTATTTGCCTTATGACAACATTCATTTTTCTTCTTTTTGTATTTTATGTATGCTAGAATATATTTGTTTGAGTGAATAAACTCTCAAAGTATAGCGTGCTTTTATAGGTGAAAAAATATTGTGCATGGTATATGAAAAGGTAAAAAGGAATTTTAAACGTTGTCTAAAGAAAAGCGTGCATGAATGTGATAGGAATGTAATTATTAGACTGACACATAACCCCAACGGAATATAATTACTACTTTAATTGTCTTTATTATGTTCACTCATGTGTACTATGCAATTAATGCTGAAACGTGTTCAAGTTTGTTGAATTCATTTTCAAATAACTTCAGCTCAATGTGCTGAAGTTATTTAATTCATTTCTAAAAACTTCTGCTCTTGATAAGCTGAAGTTTTTCCCCTGCACTCGATAGGTTTTGTCCAAAAGTTTTTTCAAATAACTTCAGCTCAATGTCCTGAAGTTATTTAGTTCATTTGTAAAAACTTCAGCACTTGATAAGCTGAAGTTTTTGTCCTGGACTCGATAGTATGTGTCATAAAGCTTTTGTTTATTTAGTGTATTTAGTGATGAGCTGAAGTTTTTGTCCTACATTTGACACTTTTGTTATGACTTTTAACCAAAACTACAGTCTACAGGATGAATCCGATTTGCGTTGTTATAACTTTTAATGGGAGTTGGACTCCTGATTTCAAATACTTGGATCATGATACAAAACTTGTTCTACTTAATAAGGACATATCATTCAATAGTTTCCTGAAGAAAATTAGTGAAGTTGCAAATATTGATTCAACCAGATATGTACTAAAAGTATGGTTTGATATCAAACTAAATACAAGCAAAGGAATTCTTGTAACTTCAGATGAAGAACTCAGTACGTGTATACATTTGCTTACAACAGATTCATCCTACAAGAATTGCCATTTCGTCATCGAAAAAATACAACCTTCAGAATCTGCAGCACTCAACCAATGTCTTGCATATGCGATAGATTCAGAACCTGAGGCTGACTATCAACATGAAGTACGACAGCCAATAATGGAAGTAGACAACGGGCAACAACCTTCTAACATTACAGCTGCTTCAGAATATATAGTGCTGCCACAATTACCCCCTCCTCCAATAAATTCATACCAGTTTGTCGATGAGCAAGAAGAAGAAGGACAGCCAATAATGCAAATTGACAACCAACACACAATCCAACAAAGCTTTTTGTTACCTTCTGCAATGATAAGCAACAACGAAGATGAAGTAAACATGGAGCTTATACAGATACCATCAGATAGAATTGAAGAAATTGCTGAAACTTCTTGTGCTTCTCACAAATTAAGAAAAAGAGTGAGAAGAAAGCTGAAAGAATCTCCACCATGTAAAATACTAAGGCACGATGCGTTGCCTGAGGAAGTAAGAGTCGGATCAATCTTTGAGAACAAACAAAACATGACGAAATTTTTCTGCAGCTTGGAGATAAACAAGAAAGTTGAATTCACTGCTGTTAGATCATGTTCCAAGAGATACGAGCTGAAATGCATCTTGGACAAATGTGGTTGGAATGTACGTGCTACCAGAATAAAACATTCCACACTGTTCGGGGTGATAAAATATCATAACATCCATGAATGCTCGGTTGATGCAAGAAAGTCAGATCAGAAGCATGCTACATCAAATTTTATAAGTGAACAAATTATAGAACATGTTCGAGACAAAAAGGTAGAGGTTACACCAGCCTTTGTAGAAAATGAAATGAAAAAGAAATTTGGAATTGACATTGGTTATCACAAGGCATGGCGTGCTATTCAAAAAGCTGTTGCTTGCATAAGGGGAACACCTGAAGAGAACTACCAGATTCTTCCTTCATACCTACACATGATGGTGGCCAAAAACCAAGGAACGTACACAAGCATAAAAAGAGATGCGCAGAATAGGTAAGCAAATCAATACTAACCATCAGCCTAAAGTTTCAAATGTTCCTATTTGAAAAACTTCACACCTTATGATTTATTTTTTTGTGTGTTTCACTGTACAGATTTGCTTACATGTTCTTTCCTCATGCGGCATCAATAGCTGGTTGTGTGACGACCCGACCCGTCATCACGTGAGTTACCGCCCCGTTTTCCCCATTTTTTACTTCCTTATGCTTCATTATAAGAGTCTTGTGTGAACGAGTTGATTTGGATTGGTTTTAGAAGGAAATGAGACACCTAATCTCTTTAAGGAAGGTTTGTTTTGGAAAAGTCAACCAGATGTTGACTTATGTGTTAGAGGGCTCGGATGTGAATTCTGATGATTCGGTTAGCTTCGGGGGATGATTTGTGACTCAGGGGCATAATCGGAAGTGATTTTGGAGGTCCGGTGTAGAATTAGGCTTGAATTGGCGAAGTTAGTATTTTGGCGAATTCCGGTTGATAGGTGAGATTTTGATCCGATGGTCGGAATAGAATTCCGAGAGTTGTTGTAGCTTTGTTAGGTGATCTGGGATGTGTGTGCGAAATTTCAGGTCATTTGGATGTGTTTCGGTTGGGTTTTTGATCAAATGCGTGTTTCGGAAGTTTTAGAAGAACTTAGGCTTGAA